AAAAGTATAAAACAAAAATAAATATATTAAAAAAACAGAATAATACAATTTTAAATTAGTAAAATTATTGTATAACCTACATAATTTGTACAGACAACAACAAATGAGACAAATTGTAGCCACTGCTTGAGACACCCAAATGTAATTATAAACAATACTAATTTTGTTTCTTTGTTATACATTAAGAAACTCGTCAACTGAATAGTATGGTCTTTCTGAGAGAGATTTTTGTCACCTTACGAAACTTAATGAAGGATGTCGCGGATTTAATTTCTCTTGGAAGGTGATTATAAAGTTTCTTTGCACGATATAGAATAGAATTCTTTACTAGCTGAGTGGACGGGATCGGCAAATAAACGTTACAATCCGAATTTCTAATGGAGTAGCCATGGTCAGGTCTATCGGGAAAAATGTTTAGATGCTTGCGAATCAAACAAACCGTTTTCAAAATAAATAAAGAGGGAAGCGTCAAAATTCCGTGATTTTTGAAGTAGGTCTTGCAATGAGTTGTTTGTTTGAGACCAAATAGATAACAGATTGCTCTTTTTTGCAACTTAAAAATAGTATCAAATTGGGCCGCTGTACTAGAACCCCAAAAGTGGAAGCCCATATCGAAGATGGGACTCGAACAATGAGAAATATGCCATTTTGACAGAAGATAAATTTAGTTCCTTCGAAACAGATCTTATTGCAAAGCAAGCTGAGGCTAGTTTCTTCCTTAAGGAGTCAGCATGCAAGGACCATTTGAGACACTGTCAATGAGAATACCTAGAAATTTCACTGAATTTACGATATTGATTTGGCTCTCATTCAAAAGCAAGGGTTGCATGACTCCTTTATAAGATAATGCTACAGCCTTATCCACGTTAAAGCTAAGTAAGTTGGAGTCTGACCAAGCCTTGATTATAAGTAAATCAGCGGTTATAATTGAATGAAGCGTTGAAATATCAGAGCTGCTCCAAGTAATACTGGTATCATCAGCAAATAGAAAAATTTCCCCTTTAATTTTCAAGTAAGTGATGTCATTAATGAAAAGTAAAAAAAGAATGCGACCTAATACTGAACCTTGCGGTACTCCACACTCAATATCTTTACAGCTAGAGTCGGTGTCATTTATTCTTACCAATTGTTTCCTACTTACCAAGTAAGTTTTGAACCAGTTCAAAGACACACCCCACAAATAGAAAGTTAATTTTTTTAATAGAATGTCGTGATTTACGCAGTGAAAGGCTTTGGAATAGTCGCAGAAAACGGTGGCGGAGGAGAGGTTACTGTTTAGTGATAGATATACATCATGTAACACAGAAAATATGGCATCACTAGTGTATTTATTAGACAAGAAGCCGAACTGATTTTGCGATAAAATGTTATATTTAAGGAGAAAGGGCATAAGTCGAACTTTTATAAGTCTTTCAATAATTTTTGATAGTGCTGGTAACAAGGCAATAGGTCTATAGATGCAGGCATCATATTTTTCTCCACCTTTATGAAGAGGAATGACGATGGCAGTTAGGGAATGTACCTTTTTCAAGGGAATCATTTACTAGCGAGACCATGACCTCCAAAACATTATGCGGTAGATTTGAGAAAATTTTAATAGATAATCCATCTGTACTACAGGACGATGTGCTTTTTATACTACGAATTGTTAAAATGAGTTCCGTCTTATCAACTGGTCTTAAAAAGAAGGTATCAGCAATGTTTTTTGAATTAGAGAGATAGGAAACTGGATCTTGTTGTGGCGAAATAGTTGAGGTTATATTTTTACTCACATTAACAAAGTAATCATTTAGATTTTCGGGGTTAGGAAAAGAAAAGGTTTGATTCGCTGTACTGGTTTTATTTCGAAAATCGTTTATTATTGACCAAGTTTCTTTTGAAATATTTTTGGAGCTTGTTAAGCGATTATGAAAGTAGGATTTTTTGGCTACTTTGAGTAGTTTTATATAGCATTTTCTGTACTTGTTGATATAATCAGAGATGGGGATAAATTATTGTCAATAAATGTCATTAAATTTTTTAATATATAGTAGAGAACGCATATTTTTCGCAGATATGCTAATGCCTTTGGGAATCCAAGGTTTGTTATGTTTTGGCCTGATGTTTAATAGAGGTAATGCTTTATTAAAAATAGATACAAGTCTATTTACGTCTTTATCTTTCTGAAAAGTGTTTTCATAATTTTTGAATCATAAGAACTCACCGAAAAAACATTTTTCGTATTAAACTGCGTTTTATTCATTTTTTCTCGATTGGTATTCAGCACGTGGAACTGGGAGTTTAAATTAAAAAAGCAAAGAAAAAGTTTTCACCCTTTGAAAAAGTTTAACGACAAAAATTGTCGAGTCCTAAAAATTCTAATAATATTTCTATTAAATAAATCACATTTTGTAAAAAATTCTGGTCTTATATTTAGCGATGTCGTATTAAAATTCATTAATAAGATCTTTGATCAACTAAGGAGAAAAATGAAAATGTTTCATGTTTTTCTCACGCTTGTTCTATGTTCGAATAATTAAATAATATTAATTGCGGCTCATAGTTTTCTAATACGTCTGGTTTAATGTTATTTATACAGTATTTTATTTATATAACAAAACAGGAGAACATTATTTGCTTCAGTTTCATTTAATGTAATATTCAGTTTTTTGTTTTCGACAGCCAGTCTTCGGCCTCCAAAGTTGGGAATAGGCCTCTCCTAATTTCTTCAAATTCTGTCGATCTTGAGCTTCCTGTCCATCGTGTGCTACCTCTGCTTCTTCTATCTTCTCATGGTCTTCACACTGTAATTTTTCTGAAGTCAGTCCAAGTAACGACCGTTCCATTTTTCTTTGAGCTACTCTGAGTTTGGTTGCTGATATCTGGGTTAAGGAAAGTATTTCGGTGCCATAAGGCATGACTTATGGCACCGAAACTACCGAAACACATAATGTTTAACTAATGTCTACTGGAAGTAGCTTTAATTTCGATATTTCCGTTTTGTCATTTGTTAATTTTCCCCTTAGAACTTTGAAACTCTCTATTTTAAATTGTTTGTTGATTTTTTATAGATTTAATTTAATAGATTTTTGTATTTTCTACTTATCTTTTTAAGTTCGTGGTGTTTTTTGCTCCTATTAATTTGCATTTTTTCCCTCTCTTCCAATAACTGCTTGTCATTGGGGACTTATTCTTTCTTTATATGGTTTCTTTTGGCAGTGTATCCTTGGGCTTTTGTCTATAGCTTCTATTATGTCATTTATGGAGTTGATATTTCGACCTGTATTCTTATTGCTTTTCAGAATAGTGTTGATGTGCTCTTAAAATGTGCATAGTAAATTCTATACATTTATTATAAATATTTTATCTCGAAAATCCACCAAAATTATATATATATATATATATATATATATATATATATATATATATATATATATATATATATATATATATATATATATATATATATATTGTTATGGATCAGTTTATCGATCAGAAATAGAATAAAGAGTTTTTTATTATTTTAATATACCGCGGGCATATAAGTTGATGTACTTATTTGTAATAGTTAGAATAAGAGAAAACATTGTTCCGTGACGGGACCCTAACGAGTTTTTCCGTGAAAAACTGAGTGAATAGTGAAAGGACAATGGAATCAGTATAATTATAGATTTAGGAATAAACTTGTAATTGTATTTTGCGGTGGTCATTTTTCGAAAGTAAATAAGAATTAGATTTAGATAAGAGATAACAAGAATTTCGAAACTTATTTCTGTTGAAAAAGGCAAAATTGTTAATGGTTTCTGAAAAATAAATTTGAGTGAAAGTAGTTTATTTGTTTTAAATATCATGTTGGAAATTTTCTAAATGGAAAATAAGTGGGAAAGATGAATGCTTATGATTGGTTAAAAAAGAATGGTGGGAATGAGAGAGTTGAGAAGGTTGTCTGGGAGAGATTGAAAGATTATTATGTTACCGGCAGACCAGAAGAGAAGACGTGTTTTCGTGTAGTCAATCTGAGTACCAGTGTTTTCGTTTGTTAGTAAAAAAGGTGGAAGCTGAGAGCAGATCAAAATCGAGAAGATTAATAGCTCTTTTGAGTGTGCATAGTCCACGAGATATAATTGAGAAAGAAAGGAGAATTTGTGAATAAATAGTACCGGTCAAAAGAGGCTTGGGCTTGTGTTTTCGGAGGAGTAGTTTGCTGGTATGCGGTTTGGATCGATGCTGAGAACGGGAAAGATTTGATGGTAGCCGGACATAATCAATCAAGGAAGGAACTGTGGTTTGATCGAGAGGAGACATCATTGGTGTAAAAATAAAGGTCAGTCAAATAATTTGAATGAAAGAAAATTTTAAGATATTCTAAAGATAAAATCAAATATAAGCATACGAACTAAGATTCCAAGTTTCAAAGAGTTATTTTTTTTTGTGAATAAATTATATTTTTATATGGTCATTTTTTTTAGTAGATATTATTATAAAACACATCAATAGATAGTTTGTAATTAAAATTAAATTTAGAGTATAGTAGTTTGTTGGGAAAGATAATTACCCACAGAAGTTATTTATTAATATTAATCGTATAGTTTATTGAAAATAAATAATAATTTGTGTGCATATTTATATTGTTTTAATGTTAGTTCCGTTTCCTGTTCTATCCCGATTATGAGCAACTAGGAGATACTGAACCCACTAGAAGAGATATATAAAGTAAACTGATTAAAGTAATAATTTTTAATAAAATGGCACCCTGGGAATTTTTAATAGTAACTGAATTATATGACTCCGCATAAATTAGTGAATTAATTAATTAAATAATTGGATTAATTAAATTAGCGTTAATTAATAATAAAACATCATAAAGCAGATCACAACAATATATAAGACCACTATTTTTTTACGGTTTTATACTTAGTAAAAATGTTTATTTTACTATTACAAACACGTCTTATGCCTTAACTTAAGTTAAGAACCATACAAAAATTGATAATACTCAACAAACTTTGTCTTGTTTAGGTATGGTTTTAAGAACATTTTGTGTAGGAGTATTTCTGATTACGAGCTTTTACCTTTTTACCATTAAATTCCAAAGCTCTGCAGCGGCGCCCAGCAAAGATGGCCGTGAAAGACACGTATCCAGATCTGTAAACGTAGAAAGGTACTCCAGGTATCCACAATACGCCAAAATTAAACCAGAACCATTCGTAAGTGATTTTATTGGTAAGTCGATGGTAAATGTTTATGATATAAGTTCAATATAACTTTATTGGAGAATGTATACATATAATATATAGATTTTCATAAAGTGTTTGGCTCAGTTTAATATTCAATTACTTTGATGCACTTAAACTGACGTAATTGCTATTGTATATTGCATATACAAACATTTTTATCTGAAAATATCTTTGTGTTAGTTTGATAACCATATAACCAAAACAGGAAGTGAGCGTGTAAAGGAAAACTAGTGCAAAATAGTTCAAAAACAAATATTTCGTAATTCATCATTATCATCAATGGTCGTATAGCCCTAGTTGAGCCTCGACCTTCTCAATCTATTTCACCAGTCAGAACAGAATTCATCGACAACCGTTGCAAGTTTGCCGATCTTCCCCCTAGTAGTATTACCGCTAATACTACTAGAGGACTAGCTAGAGCTCTACCATTTCTTTATATTTCTCGTGAAATTGGAAATGATATCACCTTCTCCAAAAACCATTCTCATAGAATGCGCCCGTTATTCTTGTTAGTATCTTCCCTTCGAAGATGAGCAGACGTCTGTTTTGGAGATGGTCCATGTTTCTGACCCATATCTCAGCACTGGTATAATTAGTGTTGTATATATTGTTAGTTTTGTGTTTTGGTTTCTTGTTTTTCTTTACGTGCCATATCGGAATTATCCGATGTTGGCGATCACCATTGCGGAGGCTTCTCGATCTTCTGTCACATGCAATATAATTGTTCTGCATTGATATCTGAGTCTATTCAAGAACGTTTTTTAACCAAGAAACCTGCCTGACGACTTGAAGCATCTTAACAGTAACTGAATGCAAGCCGTACAATTCAGAGGCACATGGAAAGAGCTAAGGGAGACCTATGTCCAGCAGCTGACGTGTACAGACTGATGATGATAAACAGTTTTAAACAATTCTCTATCTTTGTTGACCCTTTTTAGTACTTCTCATTAGTTTTTTTACTGTCCAAGGTATGTTCAGCATCCGTCTATGAATCAACATTTCCAATGCTTCAATTCTGTTACCTTGCGTTTTTTTTTAAACAATAATTTATGGTCACGATTTGATTTTTTTTGTCCATAAGTTTTTTCTCTTATATTTTACATAAACAATATTTACATAATTTTTTATAACAAGAATATCTTTATTTTCCCGTTTTTTTAATTAAAATTGATAAATAATTTATTTATATTTGCAAAAAAGCAGTTTTTTTGCAATAATATATAAATTTTATTATTTTTTTTATTAACAAAATAAAATGTTATTAATACGTTTGAACATCGAGGAATTACCGTCTTTTTAATTTGTGTGAAATTTCCTCCCGATCGGTCAAGTAGTTTAAAAGTTATTTAATTTATTTATCCCTGAGGCTAAATATTTAAACTATTGAACTTGCTCTATTAATGATGCTAGACACATTTAGCAACTTTCATAGGATTCTTTCTTAAATTATCTCAGAAGTTGAATGCATATTGCGTTTTCATCGAAATTATTCACAAAATAAACGTTTAAAAAAGAGGTATGTTTTCACTTATAAACAATTGTAATAACTTCTATATTTTTCAAGCTACAGACTTGTACGTACAACCATTGGATAGCTGGTAAAAAAACTCACATTAAAAAAAACTTATGACCAATAGGAACGAAGTTACTACGATTTGGACGAAATGTTGGAGCGTGGCAGCTGCTACTCATCCCGCCTTTTTTCGCATACAAAGATATATTACCAGTTTTCTATTATATAAATGACCTTTCTCCTATTTAAATGAGTATAAAATGTAGGAACACGAGGACGGTATACTCTGTGATCTTTGGAGATATTTAGATATAAAAACATAAATAAATGTGTTTACCGTCCTCGTACAGTACATATACCTATACATACATATATATATATATATATATATATATATATATATATATATATATATATATATATATATATATATAAACATATAGATCGTCAAAGTAGTATAATTAATATAAGGAATATAATAATATAATGTGTAAAAAATTACGTGAAATTTAATTTATAAAATATATAAGTATTATTACATCATTGATATAAAATGAAAAAAAAAATATGTTGATTTTCGGGATATTCTCAAATTTCCGGGTGGTGGGGTGAAAATTGTCATCATTATTAATACTGCGACAGACTATTTCAAATAAATTTAAAAAAAAGTAAGTTTTTACGGTGAATTTCAAAATGGTCTCAATTTTTCCGAGTTTTCCCATATTTCCCGGCCAGTGAAAACTATATAGTTATTCATATTTCGACGAGCTACCACAGATTAAAAAAAAGAGGCTTCTAGCTGCAACGGAAGCCGAAATAATGTAAAATTTTTCTACGGGTTTCAATTTGAAGTAACGATCTCGAAAAAAAAAACGGAGCTGAAGCAGTTATCACTGCGACTTTCCAATGTCGATCTTTCGAAAGTAACTTCGTTTCGCAGGGCTGTAAGTTTCGAAAAATTGAATGAGTTTTATAGTTATAAGTTTCAATATAAAGTTTAGATTTTCATTCAACATTTGTGCAAATTTTACTTCTTAATGTTTATAAACAATGGAGATATGATTTTTTTTAAAATAGTCCCTAACTTCGTTCCTATTGGTCATATAAGGTTTTTTTAAATGTGAGTTTTTTTACCATCTATCCAATGGTTGTACGAACAAGTCTGTAGCTTGAAAGATATAGAAGTTATTACAATTGTTTATAAGTAAAAAACATACCCTTTATTTTGTTGTTGTTTATTTTGTAAATAATTTTCTATGAAAACACAATATGCATTTAACTTCTGAGATAATTTAAGTCTTAAAGAATCCTATGAAATTTGCTAAATGTGTCTAGCATCCTTAATAAAGCAAGTTCTATTCGTCACATAGTAATCCCTACCTATGTCTTAAAAGTATCAGATATCTGCAAAAAATTTGGCCGTGAAATCGATGATTTTTGCATAACCAGACTTTGCTAACTCTGCGTATCACTTTACTCAGTTGCTTTTACAATTGTTATTAATATGTGGAATGTCAAGTTCATGGCTTATATGACGTTATCATACGCTGACTTAAAGTCCACAAAGAGATGAAACGTATCAATATTAAATTAATTGATTTTTTTCTAAATTTTCGTAATAACATACATAAAATATTTTTAGTTGACGAAGATGACTTCTTGGAACTGCCGAAACGCCAACAAAGCTCAGACGACTATGGACATCTTCGATTTGGAAGAAGAAACGGCGAAGATATATCCGATGACTACGGCCATATGAGATTCGGCAGAGGTGGTACAGACGCAAAATGACCGAGACTAATCCGTGGAGGCGTTTATCTTCATAAGTGTATTCATTAAATCATATCTAAAATGTTGGTAACTTTTATAAATAATAAGGCTGGATTATAAATTGTTGTGATATTTATTTTCCTGTCTACGTTTTTACTTTGAATGAAGAATCTAAAAGAATAAGAACTGAAACTCATCAATTGGTAAGAAAAACAAAAACAGATTACTGGGAAAGATTCACAGAGATGGATTTTTATGGACAACAGAAACAAGTATGGCGCTTCATAAGACAACAAAGAAGCGAAATGAAAGAACTAGTTGAAATAGAACACATACAAGAGGATGCATGGGTAGCCTTCCTGACAGAAATGTTTAAAAAACAAAACGAAGAACCTTTACCAGAAACGCCAAATATAATAACTGAGGAAAAGACCCAAATCTCCCAAAACGATGTGAAAGAAGGAATATAAACAAGTTACCAGGAGACGATCAAATACCAAAGGAACACTTAAAATATGGAGGTGATTACCTTGTACAACAACTGCAACTTCTTATTAATAAAATAATCATCACGAACAGAATACCAGATGAATGGAGCAGAGCGATCATGGTGATGTTCTTCAAAAAAGGAGATAAGAAAGACCCCAACAATTATCGAGCAATCAATCTTTTAAATACAACACACAAATTAACAACAAGAATAATAGCGACAAAAATAAACGAACGAATATCTCTGCAAGAGGAACAGCAAGGATTTCGGACAGGAAAATCATGCAAGAATGCAGTTTTTGTAATAACACAAATAAAAGAAGTCGCTGGAATACAACAAACCAGCATATATGTGTCTAATAGATTTGAAGAAAGCGTTTGATAGAGTGAAAATTCGGGAAGCGATACATTTATTATATGAAAAGGGAATATGACTGGATTTAGTAAAAACCATTGAGAATATTATATAAACATAACATAGCTATGGTAAGATGTAAAGGAAAACTATAGCAACCTATCAAATATGAAACTGACATTAGACAAGGAGATTCGCTGAGCCCATTATTATTTAATCTGATAATGGATGAAATCATAAAGAGAGTTAAAAAAGAAGAGGATACAGAATGGGAGAAATGGAAAAGATACGGCGAAAATACAAAGACTGCTGGAAACAACAGAAATGAAAGTCTTACGAAAAATAAAAAACCAAACTCTAAGAGACAGAGTAAGAAGTGAGGAAATACGAGCGAAATGTGGTATAGAGGAAATAAACGCGTGGACCAAAAGAAAAAAAATGGGATGGAATCAACACATCGAAAGAATGACAGAAAATAGAATAGTACGAATAGCAAGAGACAAATCGCCAAATGGAAGAAGATCATTGGGACGAACGAGGAAAAGATGGTCAGGCAACGTCAATTAAGGATAAAAACCGAAGTAAAACAGGCATTAAGCTTATTTATAAAGTAGGAAGAAGAAGAAGAAGAAGTTTTTACTTTGTCTACACTGAGGCATATGTCAATTTACTTGGAAATTATCACAGTGGAAGGTTGAAAACAAATTGAATATTTTTCAAGATATTACAATTCGATTTTTTGTTATTAAATTTGCTATATATGTTACATCGTTGATGATAATTTAATAGGATGTTGAAGTTTTAAACAGATTTACTTCATGGCAACGAACGACTCCACACTGGGGTAACTGGCCCTGAGCCTTAGTTTCTGGACCTAAGAAATGGACCTAAGGTAGCCTTGAAGTTTTTATTACTTAGTTCTTAAGAAACATAATACTTAGAAGACATGGTTACAACCGAAAAACAAGGTTTTACGAAAATCCGCTAACGGAATTATTCCACAGGATGTTTCAAAGTTAGGATAAAAAACCACCTTTTGATTATACCCCCGTATAATAAGTCAAATACAAAATTTTATTAAAAAACTCAGTACACTAAATTAAAATTTATAAATTTTTACACAGTGTACTAAAAAAATCATCAAACTAGGCCTAAAAATACAAAAACTGAAATACTTTAAAATTTGACCAAAATTCTCCGTTGTGTTTTTTTTTGCGTCTGAGTTTATTTACGTGAAATTATTTTAAAATGAAAAATATGATAAAAATTTAAACAGATAATTCAATGTTGATATAATTTTGATAAACGTTATGAACCGAATCATTTAGTGACAGATATTCATTTAATTATTTTGCCGAAACCACTGGTAACATTGTAATGAAATTTTATACTAATATGTTTTGGAAGCTAATACATCCCATGAATTTGTTTTTATATCTGATTCTCATAGAGGGCGCTAGTTACACGGATCGACTAAATATTAGTCAATATAACTTTTTTAAGAGTATAATTATTAATCAAAATTTCAAGTAAACTTAAACATCATTCAATTTCACACGAAAAAGGTACTCTTGGTAAAACTCGATACTGTGTACCGTTTTCGGAATATTTTGGTTTGAAAATTCTGAAGTAATAATTGATGCTGGTAGTAATGATAAAGTTCTAATAGGTATACCTCTATTTTCTCCAAGTGTGCCATGGAAATCTGACATTTATTGATTGTTATGATGATAAATCAACAATAATTAAAGTTTTGAAACCTTGTTATTTGTAATATCAAATCAAAATGTACTCAAATGTTGAATACACTGACATGTTATTAACCTTAGACGAATGTTTAGGATGTTCTAGTGCAGCTGTGACACGTTATGCAGAAAAGTTTCCGAGAAGAAACTGACCAAGTAAAAAAACATTTAGAGCCGTTGAACGACGTTGTCGAGAAACTGGAAATGTGAGACCAAATAAAATAAATTCTGGTAGACCAAGAACAACAAGAACAATTACTAAAGAATATAATATTTTAAATTTACTTGATCAAGATCCAACAGTTAGCGTAAGGAATATAGCAAGACAAACAAATACTTCTTCGAGTACTTGGCGGATACTGAAAGAACAGCAATTACATCCTTATCATTACAGACAAGTCCAAGAGCTCTTGCCAGATGATCTACCGGTTAGAGTGGATTTTTGTGAAACATTGCAACAAAGGACAGCCCACAATCCAAGTTTTTTAAAATGCATTATTTTTACGGACGAGGCCACCTTTACGCGACAAGGTATGTTTAACTCCCATAATGCACACTACTGGTGTGATGAGAATTCACAGTCAAAAGGGTATCACATTACCAACACTCATTTAAAGTTAATGTTTGGGCAGCAGCTTTAGGTAACAAATTAATAGGTTATCATTTTTATTCTTTGTACCATGGGTTATCATATTCTACCTGGAAATTTAAATGGTGATGAATCTTGATTTTTTAAACAATTCCTTATTCGAGATATTAGAAGATTTAACGCTAAACGAGCGAAGATCTTTATTTTTTATGCATGATGAAGCTCCACCACACTTTGATAGAAGGTGTCGTAATTGGTTGAGTAATCATTTTCCGAATCGATGGATTGGTAGAGGTGCAGAAGCTCCGATTCATTGGCCTCCTCGGTCATGCGATTTTAACCGTTTGGACTACGCAGTTTGGTGGTATATTAAGGAAAAAGTGCTACAGAGGTAAATTCACGCCAACAATTGGAAGAAAGAATTCAACGTCGATGCCATTTGGTATAAATTTAGGACTAAGGCAGGGGGACCCCTTGTCACCGTTGCTGTTCAATTTTGCTTTAGAATATGTAATAAGTAAAATATCGTCTGACCTGACAGGATGATTTGCTGATCAAGGATCAAAACTGGCCTTTGCTGACGATATAGATGCAGTCACGCATTCTACAATAGACGTGAGGGAGGTGTTTTCACAGCTCGAGGAGGAAACAGGTAGTCTGGGTCTCCGAATAAATGAAGAAAAGACTAAATACATGGTAATAATCAAAAATCCAAGACCAAGAGTTAGGCAGAACATCAGTATTGATGATCACAACTTCGAAGTGGAGTTTAAATACCTGGGGGCGATAATCACATAGAAAAAGAGGTCATTATTATTATTACATTTGGCAGTGAAACATGGACTCTCGATCAGCGGGAAATCAATAAGCTTCTAGTATTTGAAAGAAAGGTTCTTAGAATATTATTTGGCCCTCAAAGAGATGAATTCACAGGGGATTGGAGAAGACGCCGCAATGCTGCATTGGTGACTCTGTATGGAACTGAAATCATAGTTAGACATCAAGGCAAACCGAATAAGATGATCAGGTCACGTGGTACGATCAGAGGATGACATAGTGTCAAAGTCAGAGATTTTTTGAACGACCAGATAGTAGAAGATCAGTAGGCCGACCGAGAAAAAGATGGAATGATGATGTTGAAGTTGATTTATCTATAATTAGGGTACAACAATGGTAAATAGAAGCCTAAGATCGTAGAGGATGGAGGGCGATAGTAGAGACGGCGAAGACTCACCCAGTGAAGAAGAAGAAGAAGACCGAGCGGATGTGCGGAAGTCGACTATATATCTAAAGATGTAAAATACTCAAATTAGTTATGCCTTTTACTTCAGAACGATATTCATTTATTTAGTCTGTTAATAGAAAGATTGCTAGCAACCGCAGATGCTTGTTTGGTTTGTTTTACACGGCAAAATAAATACACACCAGATGAATCAACAGCTAAATCAGTAGATTGCCGCAAATACACAACAAAGCAAATACTTTACGAAAAACTGTACGAAAAAATTTGTACGAAAGTACAAAAAAAAAACTAAAAGCACTGTACAATTCTAAATAATTTATTTATAAAACTCATTTAACAAATTTAAATATATTTTTTACCATTAATAAACAAAAACAACAAACTTAATTATCAAATACTTCATACATATTGGTTGAGGCCTTATAAACTGTACTAAAATAGTACAGGAATATTTTGAAATGTTGTGAACAGGTTAAAATTTATTTTGTTTAGAATTAAGACATAGAACTAACCTCAAAATTATTACTATTTGACATCATGTCTATAATACTCCAATCGTCAGGGACGAAAATGCCACTGAGCCTCTAAAAATAATACCAA